CTCGTAAGGCCTCTGCACTATCATCCCACCATTTTTGTGGTAATGGATCTGGTACTTTGACGATGTCACCCTCATTCGGCAGCTCTTTCCACCTGTCCAGTCTGGCTCTGCCAGATATGGTATGGAAATAGTAGTCCACGTTGCGTACGTCGAAGCGTATCCGACGACGTATCTTGGTAGATGTCGTTGTGGCCTTGGTGTTGGCCATGAGGGTCTTGTCGCGGATGACGTAGCTGCGGTCTGAACGGCGTGAATGTCTAAAGTTGGCAGGAGAACGTGCTCTAGTGTTGGGTGAACCACGGGACGATCCGCGGCTCGGATACCGCTTGCCACGTCCTTTGTCACTGCCATATGATCGATCACGGCCGCGTGGACTGCCACGTCCGCCGCCACGATTGTCTCGTCCTCGGGAGGTAGATCTCGAAGATCTGTCGTAACGACTTCTCGATTGGCTGCGAGAGTCTTGGGACCTCCTGGATGTGGAACGGGATCGGTCGCATTGGCGTCGGTTGTCACGTCCCTGTCGTGAATCGCTTGCGTAGCGAAACCCCCCGCGTTGTGAAGACCGTTGGCTTCCTGATCCGCGGGATGGTGATCGGCCACGGCTGTCCTGGCTGGAAGTCCGTGGTCGACTCGGGCTTCGTTCAGGAGTCTTTGCACCAGGTGCGAGATGAGCGCATTTGCATTTGTCGCCTTTTGTGCACTTGTTCTGTGCGAAATCCTTGCACTGTGCGGCGTGCGGGTAGTTACACTTATCACCTCTGGTACATGTGTTGCGCTTGGCAAAATCGAAGCAGAACGGCCTTGATGCTGGCTTCTTGTGATTCGCAGGAGTGGACATACTACGGCGGGGGTTGCCACCAGCCGTTGATGTTCTGGAAGATTTGTTGTTCTTCCAATCCCTGGAATATGTATGTAAAGCCTTGCACCGTTCACCATTGCGACAATTGCCTTTCTTCCATGCAACGCACACGTTGACCTGAGATCGTGTCTCGTGTTCGTACCGTAGCTTGTTTTGATTCTTCTCCAATTGTTTAATCTCCAGTATGTCCAGGACACGCTGTCGAAGCCAACCGTAGGTACGATTCGGGTCGCTCATCTTCATGCGCTGGTACTCGTACATGTCTTGTTTCATCCATGCATGTCTACGAATCTGTGTGCGGAATAGCGATTCCAATATCTTTGGATCGGGTACTTCTCGGCATTCCAAGAGTAAGGCGTCCCAATCGGTAATGAAACGTTGCAAATCTTCGTCTCTCATCCTCAGTTCTTTAAGGCGCTCGAAATCGTGCAGGTCGTCGTCGACGTCTGTCACTTTGTAGGACTGTAGGATATGCCAGTATATCTGGCGTCCTTTGAGCATGCGTCCTGCTTTGTGCTCTCTGGTCTCGATGAGCCTGATTTGGTAGCGTAAGTCTGAGGATAAGATGTCGCTCAGAGCGGTTGCGAGTTTGCAATCGATGCTCTCAAAGTCTCCACTGTCTTGTAAATCCTCGAATGTGCATTCGGGTTGTTCTGCCACGCATAGGAAGGCGTATGCTTTGGATGGTCGCCCTGAGGCGGCCCCGAAGTTCTTCCGCACTCTTTGCTGCCACTCCAGCAGCTGCGTGATCTTAGGCAAGACAGGTACACGGACGGTGTCTGACTCCTTGATAGGCGTCGTAGTATGGACCGACACCGCAGACGCTGGCTGTGAGGGTATCGGTGCACCGTCGATGGTTGGTTCTGTGCGCACAGGAGACACATGGCGTGTCTGTGCAGAAGCTGCCGCGGAGGCTGCTCCTGGAGATGTGCGTCGTTGTTGTCCTGCTGAAGCTTGTGGTGCTTCGGCGGACACTGCCGTCGGCCTGTGCGGGTCGGCTGCAGGTCGAAGGTGAATGTTGGTGTCGTTAGTGTGGTCGATCAGCTGATTCGTCCAGCTCGTCATGTCTTCTTGTATTTGACCCACCTTTTGGCGTGTATACTCATCAGTATCCCGAGACCGTTGGGAATGCCGATCAAGCCGATGCTCGCATGCTCGGAGACGGGCGCTTTGTGCCTCCACCTCGCTTTCCAGACGTGCGAGATAACTCTCAACACGTACCTTCTCAGTATCTCTTTCATGAATAACCTGGGAGAGCTCTAACTGCGTGTGGTCCGCCGCCTTCTCAACCTCCTGCAACCTGTCAGTGAGGCGGGCGAAATCGTAAACCGTGGGAGGAGAATCCAGCTGATCAGTCTGGGCTCGTCCGACACGCAACTCTGCCAGGGCGTCCTGTACACCAGGGAAACGCTGCTCTATGTCAGAGATCCGGTTAGCGAGTGGCTGCACGACAGCGTTGGTCGCATCAAGCCTTTGAGTGATGACTCTCTCAGTACGCTGCAACATGTCGATCAGGTTCGACGAGTTTGTGTGTGCTTCGGTACGAAGCGTCGCCGTAGTGTGGTCTAGGTAAGATCGAAGATCATTGATCTGAGACTGAACGTCGCCGAGGTCTGCGGCCTCGGTTGGGGTTGGTCGGTTACGGAGCTGGTCGTGGATCTCATCGTGTAAAATCCTGACCGCAGAAATGCCTGTGTCGCGTACGATCACAAGTTGTTGCTCCATCTGCGCGAGATAGTTGCGCAGGTTCTCGACCATCGCCGTTCGTTCACCTGAGTGTGACACCTCACGATCAACCTGGTACTGCAGTTCTCCTATGATGCGTCTATCTTCGGCGATCCTGGAATCGATGATCCCTAAGGCGCCGTCAAGATCGCGGCGTATGGCTGCAGTATCCGTGGCATTCGTCTGAACGCTCTGTAGTAGTCCAGAGTATTGGCTGGACACGAAGGTTTCAACCTGGTCTCTGAGCTCAGCTATGTCACCTGCGGCGGACGTCTCCGCCAGCTGGTCGTCTGAGATGGAGAGGTGGGGAGCGTCAGCTTCCCTGTGTCCCCTGTCGCGGGGAGTGCATGGCCTCTGAGAGGCAGTACGCGGGCTCGACCTGCTCTCGCCGTATGGGCCTGGGGCTCCACGGCGGTTGCGCGCGGACGAGCTGCGACTCGGACCATGTGTGCGTGATGTCTCATCCGATGATACCTTGGGGTACCGCGTCTGTGGCTGTGCCGACGCTGGTCCACTGAGTTCCTCGAAGGTAGCTACGTGCTCCGCCACAGGGACGGTCGCAGGGCTGGGGGTTCCAGCACCTGAGGTCCATCGGCGGTTAGCGCGGAAGCGCCCTGGAGTATCGAGACCGGTAAGGCTTTCGCCTGACGCGGTTGGGATTGCTCCCGACGGGGAAGGGGAGGGAGGATCAAAGGTCGGCGTGTGAAACTCCTTCCTTCCTGTTCCTACTCCTTCTCCTGTCCCCCCGCGGGCGGCGCTGCGGCGAAGTTCAGCAGCTAGACGCGCCTCGGGTCCTCGGGAGCTGGGGGGGGTATCGGGGACACCAACACAGTCCGCACTAATGCTCTCCAACTCGTCACCGAGCCGTCGCACCGTGGGAGAGCTTGGACGCGAAGCCCCAATGGAACCCTTACGGCGCATGCGCCGAAGCGGCTCCATTGGGCTCGCATGCAAGGTCACCGCGGGCGAGTCGGTGAAGGTGAGCGTTAAAGGGCTGATAACCTGTGTATGGGGTTGAAGTACAAGAGTACAGAACCCCTGATCCGTTGGTAGAGAGATGGAGGGATAGATGGATATCTGTCCCTCCCAAGCGATCAAGGTACGATCGCTCTAACTCAGTACCTGAGCCCAAACGGCCAGGCGCGGGAGAGGTAAGGATAAGGATTATATATGAGGGTATTACACGGGTTCCACACACAGGTGCTCGCCCACGCTGTGCTCGCGGGAAAACCTCCTCCTCCTCCTCCTCCTCCTCCTCCTCCTCCTCCTCCTCCTCCTCCTCCTCCTCCTCCTCTCGGGAATCGACGACGATTTTTACCTGTGTGTTTTTGTACCCCTTCTGGTGTCTGGGCTCGTCCTGGGGCTGCCGTGGCGCGCGCGGGGGGGGTGGGGCGTGCACGCGCCCCGACATCTTGCGGCCGTCTTCTTCGTCGTCGTCGTCGTCCTGCCCTGGCGCGCGCGGGGCGCGCGCGCGCGCACGATGATTATTTGCGTCTGTGGTTTTTCCCTCCTGAGGTCAGGGCTCAGACATGCGACGTCCTGATTTGTTCAATACGCTGTCCCCAACAGTCCCGATCCTTTCCCCAGGACGGGGTTTTCGTCCCGAGTCGTTTTTTGACGGTCCCGGGGTCTGGCGAGGGCCCCCCAGAAGCCGAAACACATGAAAAAACTCCGTCTGGATTTTCCCCAAATAGGCTTGCACTAAAGGAGTTCTAACTCAAAACTTACTAATTGGTCCGTTGTCCCCCTAATTCCTATGCCCCCCTAATGCCTATGGCTATGTCTATGGCTATGCCTCCCTCTTACTCCTATGCCTACGCCTATGCCTATGCCTACGCACCACCCCTGAGCGCTCCTATGCCTATGCCTATGTTTATGCCTATGGTTCCAATGTTTGCTTGCTTGCGTTCTTGCGTGCTTGCTTTCGCGCTTGCTTGCTTGATTGCTTGCTTGCTTGCTTGCTTGCTTGCACGTTTGCTTGCTTGCTTGCTTGCTTGCTTGCGTGTTTGCTTGCACGCTTGCTTGTTTGCTGATTTGCGGAATTCAAGCATGCCTGATTCCTCTGATTCCTTGATTTGACTCGTCTAGTCTATTTGGAGTCAACGCTGGCTGATTTCTGTTCACGACACGAGCATGTCTGGGTCTCCTCCTCTTCCTCATCCTCCTCCTGTTCCTCCTCCTCCTCCTCCTCTTGCCCCTCCTCTTCCTCCTCCTTTTCTTTCCTCCTCCTCCTCCTCCTTCCTCTCCTCCTCCTCCTCCTCCACCTCCTCCTCCTCCTCCTCCTCCTCCTCCTCCTTTTCCTCCTCGGAAATCAACGACGATTTTTGTCAATGTGTGCTTTTGCTTCCCCCCCCTGACGTCTGGACTGCCCTGGCGCACGCGGAAAGGGGGGGGGGGGGAATCGCGCGCGCGCCCCGACATCTTGTGGCCGTGGGCGGCGTGCTGCCGGCACTCTAACATCAGGTCCTGCTGGCTGTCCTGGCGCGGGGGGAAGTGGGATGAGGAGGAGGAGGAGGACAAGGAGGAGGAGGAGGAGGAGGAGGAGGAGGAGGAGGAGGAGGAGGAGGAGGAGGAGGAGGGGAGGAGGAGGAGAGGAGGAGGAGGAGGAGGAGGAGGAGGAGGAGGAGGAGGAGGAGGAGAGGAGAGGGAGGAGGAGGAGGGTGGAGGAGGAGAGGAGGAGGAGGGAGGAGGAGGAGGAGGAGGAGGAGGAGGAAGGAGGGGGAGGAAGAGGAGGAGGAGAGGAGGAGGAGGGAGGAGGAGGAGGAGGAGGAAGAGAAGGAGGAGGAGAAGGAGGAGGAGGGGGGGAAAAGGAGGAGAAGGAGGAGGAAAAGGAGGAGGACGGGGACGAGGAGGAAGAGGAAAAGAGGAGGAGGAGGAGGAGGAGGGGAGGAGGAGGAGGAGGAGGGGGAGGAGGAGGAGGAGGAGGAGGAGGAGGAAAAGGAGGAGGGGGAGGAGGAGGAGGAGGAGGAGGAGGAGGAGGAGGAAGGAAAAGGAGGAGGAGGAGGAGGAGGGGAGAAGGAGGGAAGGAGGAGGAAAAGGAGGAGGACGGGGACGAGGAGGAAGAGGAAGAGGAAGAGGAGGAGGAGGAGGAGGAGGAGGAGGAGGAGGAGGAGGAGGAGGAGGAGGAGATGCACATCGTCGGGTCTTTCGGTAGGGGTCGAGTGTTTTCGGCCCTGGCTCCCACTGCGGTCTGGCACCTCGGCCCGCCGCGGGCTGTCCGTGCCAGGGATGGGATGAGGACACACCACACTCCTTACATAACAAAACACAATTCAAAATTCCGAACTGGCGGGGGGGGGGCGGCAGGTGGGGAAGAGGAGGTGGGAAGAACATCTGCGCCACCCCTTTCCCTCCCCTCGCCGAGCCGCACTCCGCCTTCGCCATCAGGCTCAGCCAGATGCCCGAACCTCGAGCCAGGACAAAGGGCTGGCCTGGAACTCGAGAGCGGGCCTCGGGAACTAAACTTCCTCGAACAGATATTACAGTTGATCGGAGCCCTGAGCGCCAGGGGGCAATGCAACTGCTCGCGCGCACGCTCCACCCTCGCGCACAGGCCACGGGCAGGCCCCCGCGCGCGCACGTGCCCACGCCCGACACGCGCGCGCTCGCGAGCAGTTGTCGCGAACACCTCGCGCCGGGCAGTTAACAGTCGAGACAAAAACGCCACGATGGAGCGCGTCCTCGAGGCGGGTGCGATCCACGAGGTCTGGGGGGGCTGCGCCTCTGGAGGCGGCCTCGGCCGCCAGTGCATCTGCAACAGACTTCAACATCCTCTCGACGCGGGCCAACCCAAGCTGCTCAAGCTGGGGCGGCGTGGGCTGAGACTTGGCCCACCTCAATTCAATGCGCCCCTCGCGTCGTTCAAAGCCTGCCACAAGTCAACCCGCAAAGTAAGCGTCGCTGACTGTTGTACCAACTACTGCGAAACCCACGGGCGATTGGTAAATAATCAGAAAAGACCAGCACTCCCCCAGCAATGTTCTTCAACACCATGACGAGCGCCAACAGCTCTGTCCAATGGGAACTCTGGCGCTCGCCGGGGAGGGCGCCTGCAATAACAGAAACACCCGCACCCTGCAAAGACCGAACTAGACGGGCGCGCGCCCAGCCGCGACGCCGAAGCCTCCAGTCCCCCATTAGCATCCCTCGCGATCCGTCGACCCCCCAGACTCCGCCCGACGCAATCTGGTCGCCCTAAAGGGCGCCCCAGCGCCAGATCAGATCGGGAGGCGGCGGAGGGTGGCCAATCGAGGGCGACGCGGGCATGAGCCCGCGGCGCCAGGGAGCTGGGCACCCTCTGGCCTCTGCAAGTGCTCAAGCACAAAGAGACCGGGTCCATTCCCTAACGGGAGACGAAATACGATCGTTGCTGTCACACTTCCAAAGCCGACGCAGGGGGGCCTCGAGCTCAACTCCACACTTTCGACGCAGCCCGCGAGCTTCAGTTTCACATCAATTTTCATGAAAGTCGGCCGTCAGTTCTGGAGCCCCCACATAGAAGACAATAGAAAATGAACACTGGCGAAGTCGAGCCCATCCTGAACTCCACCCCCCACGCAACGACGAGAGGCCGTACTTCATGACTCGCTGTGGACAATATTCTGCAACTGCGCCCACAGCTGCACGGGGCAATCAGGTGATTCAGCGCGCAGCTCCACTCCTCCTGGAACGATCCAAACGATCGGTGGGGGCGGGCTGCCATGCAAGATCGATAAGTACTGCAGCAGTAGCTGCAACTGGCCCTCGAACTCTGCGACAAATACGTTCTGGCGACACACGGGCAAATTCAGCAGCTCGAGCATGCCACGCACGGGCAACTCTTATTCTGGCCCGAGGGCCCACGTCGAACCACGCCTGCTGAAACCCAAGAAGCAGCTGCAAGCTGCTCACGCCGCAATCGGCGCGCAGGATCTAAGGGCACAGCTTTCAGGATAGACAACAAAGTCGTAGTACAGGACCCAGGGCTCCACCAAACAGAGCGCGCAATCGCCCGAGGCCGAACCGAACGAACCTGCAGGGGAGACAACCCGAGGGCCGCGTGCCCCCAGGAGGACACCGAGAGGACCCCAAGCGTAAAAAGCATGGACGCACTTGTACACATACCCGTCAGGCATTGAACTTTCTTGGCCCCTCTTCCGGGCCTTGGATCGCCGAACCCTCAACGAAGTGCTGCGCCGGCCCTTGCCAGCAGCAGCGGCCGCGCCCCGGTCCCGAACGGCCTCCAGGACCCGCGGAAGCACTCCAGCAGCCTGGAAATCCGCCGAGACACGCAAGGAGACATACCGGTTACCGCTCGCTGCTGACAGTGGCTGGCTTCTCGGAAAACAAAAGCTTCAGGCCCCCGGCTCCACGGGCCAGGTGGAGAGCAGCAGGGGCGATGGCGCCGACCGCCTCGCCGGCGCTGCCCTGCGAATTCTGAAACAGATCACCCACGTGACCTTGGGTCGCAACACTGGGGTAATATGATGGAGTTCCTCAAGCATCTGATACAGATGGGCTTTAGTTCAGGGCGTGCTCTGCGAACATCCGCGCCAGGCCCGACGGGCCCCAAACAGGAACCTCCCGTCTCTAACATCCCGGAAGAGAGTTGGATATGCAATCCCACGTGCATGGAGGAACTGCAACTTGCACCCCATACTGATCAGCAGGACAGGGGGGTCGGCGCCAAAAAAAATCGCACGGGCCCCGGCGCAGAGCCACGGACGCGCCGCCCTCGAAGGCAGCCAGCTCGCGGGGCACCTCGCGCCGCAACGCCACCTGCAAGGCGGAACTGCCCTTGATGGCGATGCCCCAAAACGCGACGTGCTCTCAGGTCCAATCGACAAGAAAGGACGCACGGGTCTTAATGTGCACTCGTAAGAGTGGGACACTTGCAAACAGGCCTCTCATCAACCTTGCACTTAGCAAAACCTGTGCCAGGGAATGCAACGCCTCGGAAGGGGCCGACATGAAATCCGGGCCCCCAGCGATCAACCCCCACCGCAGTGCCCTCAGAAAACGTGATACTGGCAGCAAAAACATCGATGCACTCACGTCGGGGAGCCCCGGCTGCACCTCGGCAGCTCGCGTGCGAAGCTCGGACATGGCACCCCCCAACTCAAGCTGCTTTTCGGGGCCCGCGGCCCAGAGCCCTTCCCCCGCAGCTTAGCCCGATAGGCCGTCGTCTCATCGGGAAGCTGCAGCGCACCATGGGAGCCAACAAATTCTAACGGATCACCTTCGTCGCGCCATAGCCACGCACGTGCTCTCTGACTCCCTCGAGGAAGGGATTCGACGAGCCAGCCCTCAATCGCCATAGCCGAATTCCGTCGAGCGTTAGACCAGGCCTTCCCGGGCGCAGCGGAGCACTCGAAGGCCAGCGCATCACAAAGATCAATGTTCATAGCCGATTGTCCCGACTCCATCTGGGCTAACTGAGCCCGCCACGAGTGCTCCGTCTGGGTGGGCGGCAGACAAGAAGCATACTGCTGAACATTCTGGCCAAGACAGGAGACTCGCCGAGCAAGGTCGAGACATCTCGCCATGCCCATTGCCCAGGGCAGCTCGTAGCTCGCGTAGCTTCTGAAAGAGGTGGGGCCAAAGGCAGAGAACGGGATCGGAATGCGGCTTGCTACTGCCATTATGAGCAGACAGCGTAGCCCCCCTCGTCTCGACCATTTCCCCACTGCCCACATACTGACATGCGTCGTGCTCATACTCATGCCCAGCACCGAGCGAATAATTACCATAAGCACGAGACCATAGTAGATACGCACCGGCAAGCTCCTCCGAGAGATGTTGCTGAACATGAGAAAGCAACCGGCACCCGGTCTTAAACGGCGAGCTCCCGTGATCGCTGAGCTTGATGAACGGGGCGATAGAATCAGATGCTACAACGCAATCGATCATCGCGCCCTGCCCTTGGAAGCAGGCGAAGGCCGCGTTCGACGGCGAAATGGCGCGGCCCTCGTCATCTTCAGGGCACCGCAGATCTGCATCACGTCAATGCTTAAGTTGAAACCCCCCATGAGAATCCAGGGTGCAGCAAGGGTTCTAACACAACTATTGGTATCTTTCTCATCTCACGCATGTTCTCACCGGCAACGCCCAGGCCAGCCGCTATATGGACTGCGCCGACGCCGGAGACCGACTTCTGAATGCGACGCCACGGAAAACATCCACCCGTGTCCTGCGCCCACCTCTTTCACGCTCCCATCGTGAGAAAGGAACTTCTTTAAATGCGAACCACGACGCACACGAGCCCCAAATCCCCCATGGGCACCCAATCCAGAGCAGAGGGACTCTGAGCAGACACGGAGTGCGGGCGCCACTTCATCGAAGCACACTCCCGCCGGGCAGCTTTTCAACTGGTGGGGGAGCTGGCGGTGTTCAGCAAAGAAGAAAGCGTCAACTGTCCAATGAAAATGCGCGATGGAACTCTCGGCAACAGAGCCCCACTGCGTGATAATACCCCCCGAAAAAGGAAAGTGGTGG